TTTTAATCTAACAAATCTCTCTGTGGTATTATACTCTCATTATCAGTGGCTTTGTGCTTGTGGGATTTTGTTCCATGTCTACTCTCATTCTCAGGAATAAAACTGTGAACACAGTAAGGCAAATGGTCAACATTTACACTTCTATAGTGGTCAATGATTTATTACTTTTTATTATCTAAAGATATTATTGTCAGGCAGTTTGGGATGAATGTACATCTTTAATCAAATTAGTATTATCATTACAAGAGCTAATCTACTTTAGCAGGTTTGGGGTTGGGGTCAGTTATTCTACAATGGTGTTTGTGCTGGAAACTTCTCAATATCTAAATATCTACTTTTTGTTTTTGTGCTATACACAAATACATCAAAATGCTTTTAAATGCTTTTGAATCTCTGTTGGTTCTAATCTATCTCATTAATCTAGGCATTAATCTAGACTACACTCATATGAACTTTTTGCATTGTCAACATTCACCCATGTGTGAACACAAGTGAATTTGGCAAGTATCTAATAAAACTGTACATAAAACTGTAATTAACTTTATCTACTTCTGAAGTAAATGCTTGTGAAATGGTCCCTTTACCATTTGATATTAGCACTGGCTAGAAATATTCTCTATTTTTGAAAGCATCTATGGTTGATGCTTTTATCTAATTCTATTTTTACTCTATTTTTTAACTCCAAAGCTCGGCTGCAGCTTGAGCCAAGGCATATTTCTAGTTTGTGACTTCTGTCACTTTCAATGGCTGTAACATAACTCTGATTCTAATATTTTAGCTGCTCTATCAAAAGGATAACATTGTAGGGTACTATTTTAACTCTTACGTGGAAATATGTTTATGAACAACAAAGAAAGGACAATTCTACTTTTTTACTACTATTTAACATCTACTAAAACGTTACAATACTCATACTTTATCATTTTCAAAGTTTTTGTCTGTCAGATGTCTGAATACTTAACATGTATATTGCATTTGTCACAGTTTCTGGTTGTAGCAATAGCATCGGCAATAGACGTTTTCATTGGCTGGTTCTTGTTCTGCAAATCGCTGTGTCCAATAGATCATCAGATGTCCAGAAGCTAGGGACAAACAAAAACAAAAGAAAGAATCATGAGTATCTCTCTCATTTAGCACTCATCAATGTATGATTTCAAAAATATAAACATCACTCCCCAGTTTTTCTCTCTCAGATCCTCAGATCCTCAGGTCCTCAGGGTCCTCAGGGTCCTCAGAGTCCCCTGAGGGTGAGTCTCAGTCGTCATCAGGTCAGGTCATCTTGGACATCAGTAGGGTCCAAGCCATGGTTCTGGTCTCTCCAGTTGGACATCGGATCTCCAGATACAGTCTTTTCAGTTGAAGCACATCAGGTCATTTGCGATGCACTTCTGGTCAATGGTGCAGTGTCTCAGTTCCTGTACACAGCTTGTAATGCAGTAGTTACTCTCTATGGTTAAATCACTTTGATTCTACTTTAAAGACAATTTCTATTCATGCTGTTGCTAATGTCCCTCAGACAAAAAGCAAGCGCAGTTATTCAGTTTACTTCTCTAATTTGTGTTTTTATCAGATCTAATTCTAATCAATGTAATTACTTCACACAGTACAAAATCAACAAATCAAAAGTGTCAGGACAGACGTCAATTAAGTCCATGACAATATAGTATTCAAATGAACATTTCTGGTCTCAAAAAATACAGATTCAAATAAAGATTCAAGTGATAGACAATTAAAAATGTGTTTACATTGGAGTAAACTTTTAAAATGCTTTTTTCTCATGTTCTGCTTTTTCATGTATCTATATGTAAATGTGAATGTGTGTGTGTATGAGTGTGTATGTGTGTGTGTGTGTGTATGTGAATTTTGGGGTTGTCTCTCCAGACTCCTCGAACCACCTGTAGGTCTCAAAGGTCACACTGTGGTGATGTAAACCACGTAGACACACTTTCAACTCCCTCTAGGTCTCTACCTGACGCTCCACCCATCACGTCTCCAGATACCTCTCTTTCATGGCCCCGGTCTCTCTCACACCCACTCAGTTCTGCAGTGGCGTGGGGAGGGGCAAGGAGGTGGCATTTCCCTTTGCTCTTTGATCTGTGACCTGTGGCTGGGTGGGCGTTGCGCTGTCCAGTGTCCAGCAGTCCAGTGACCCTGTACAGTGTGTGCTCTTGGTTCTGGAAAACAACCTTATAGTCAAATTAAAAACAACAGAGATTGTGAATGAGATTGTTTTTCTCTCTGAAGTCAAAACAATTTTGAAGCGCTCTTGGCTTTCCCAAGCGCTATGTAAATAAAGATTACTTATTATCTTACTAATGATGACATTTGAAGACCAGAAACTCTTTCTTAATAAAAAACAAGACTCAAATCTCTTAAACCTTCAAACTTTAAAATATGTATTATGTACTTTTGTACTGTGTGTTTAATTATCTATGCATTTATCTCAGCATATATTTTACTAATTTAAAATAATTGCAGCATTTTTCAAATGAAGTCAGTATGAATTGGAGCACATTTTAGACCAGTCTCCTCTGCTGTGGCATCAGCAGGAGCAACAAGGTCAGGCGTGTGGTCAAAACAAAAACAAAAGTCACCACTTGCATGTGAATTGGGTAGTTTAACTTAATAATATAATACTTTTACAGCCTAATTCCCTCTTTCTTTTTTAGACGAAGTCTACAATCATTAATCACTTTTAACAGATTCTAATTTAAATGTTTGAAAAACGGCTTTTGTAACTAAAATAAAAAAATACATGAAAAAATTCTCACAAACAGCTATGAAATATATCAGAGATACAATAATGGACTCACAAAATAAGCAGCAGATTTAAAAAGAAAAGCAAAGCTTTTTGTACTAATCTTTGGGTTTCAAAAACATACTAATTCAAAACTTCTATTCCCTAATGGTGTTTAAAAACGTTTAACTGTGTCTAACACAATGTTCAAATGGCAAATTTAGCAAATTTAACGGAATAAAAACTATGAAAAGCCAAATTCCTAAAGCAGTAGCTTTGCTTCAGATTCACAGCCAGAGCAGCGAAGGAGGGGGCCGTTTCCCTGACAACGGCAGCAGATAGAGCGACGCACACACACAGGCAAAAAGATACAGAAGAATAACTTTCAAGATTACTTTGTTAAGCGAATATAACTGATGTTGTTCTTTATACTTTTGTCATCCAAATCTAGAAGTGATCACTTTCCACACTAGTAACAAAAGGCACTCTTGTCTTTAACGTTTACGCTTCTATTTTATCGATGTAGCAAACTAATTTAAACTTAAAATCTCTTTCTAAAAAACAAAAACAACTGTTGGATACAGCCCTCTCATAGCTCAACTGTAGATAAAACTCGGCAAAAAATGTAAATAACTCACGAAAGCTCTCATAGCTCAACTTTAGATAAAACTCTGCATTCTCCGGTGAACTCTGTTCACTCCAAAAAACAAAAAACTCCCTTTTCTGTATGTAATTTAAACCGTGATCACTGAAATATTGTTGCTTATGTACTTTTGTCATTTATCAGCCTGAAATTCGTCAATTTCAAAGCTTTTGTAACAAAGGCCTCCTTAACACGTTTCCCTTTTTAAAAATTGCTTTTATTATTACACCATGGTTTCACTTAGGCCTTTTCACTTATGGATCCTATACACTTTATGGCCAACACTTTTTGGATCCTATACACTTTATGGCCAACACTTTTTGGATCCTATACACTTTATGGCCTTTTCACTTATGGATCCTTCACTCACTTTATGGCCTTTTCACTTATGGATCCTTCACTCACTTTATGGCCTTTTCACTTATGGATCCTTCACTCACTTTATGGCCTTTTCACTTATGGATCCTTCACTCACTTTATGGCCTTTTCACTTATGGATCCTTCACACACTTGAACACAATTTAGAGAGTTCGACAGACCTCAAAAACACACCCAAATTTAGCTAGTATCCAATTATGCAGACTTTACATATAAAAAGGTGTCTGCTTACCTTATTCTTGTCAAACAGGTGCATGCACGGGCTGTCCGAGAGGTCTGCCAACATCTTTTCCGCGTCGGAATCTTCAATTTAAAAAACAAAAGTGACAGAAGCGACAAGAAGCATCCAGGAACAGCTCTTCCAGCCTGCTGGAATCTCCGCTCCCAGACACAGCATGCCGATCTCTCACGCAGAGGAAAAGAAACAGAGCAAAACTCCCCCAAAACAATCCAGAGAATGGCACAAACCGAGCCGCGCATTCTCCACCAAATCTGTTAGGATTTAAGCACGAAAGGCGCAGCCAAAACTCATGAATAAAGATCAGCTAGTTCCTCCGCTATATCGAATAAGTGTTTCCATTGCCGTTTTGCGGAAAACTTAATTTCGATACGTCAAAAAAACCACCGCTTTTAGCGCATTAACTTTTTATCGAAAAAACTGTCCGGCCCCCTCTTATTCGTAATTTGCGCGTTTTCCATTACACTGGTAACCAAATATCAGCCTTACTAAAAGGATTGATCATATTTTACTTGATTTTTCTCCAATGTTCACAGTTCACCCACACACTAATTGGTAACCTTTACAATTCATGTCAAAATCAAACTTTTATATGACATAGTTGAGTTTCATTTCATAAGAGTTGGTGTGTTTCGTCTGTGGTATTTCTGTGTCAGCCAATTACTTGAAAGGTGTCTGTTTAAAGTCAGTACTTTACTTAAATTAATTAAACAATATGGGTGCAGGTATTACTTGAGTTAAGCTTTTCGGACATGCGCCATGTTCAGTTTTTACCTCATGGCTAGAGTCACTTTCTGCTGGCGCCATCTTATTCACCGGCGACTTTCAACAGAGCACTTGGGCTGTGAGGTCGTAATCCTCCATTGCACAAGGTAAGTTAAGTATTCGGTTTTTTGTTTTAATCAATTATTTTCACTCTTCAGGTGATATGCATTTCGTGAATTGTGTTAAGTGCTGTTGTTAAGTAAGGATAGTGGAGAAACGCGTGTAATTCGCCGTTGTAATTATGAGTTTGAAACAGCATTTTTAAGTATGGCCAAATGCACCTCCACTGCTGTGGTCTCCGCGTGATACAGGGGCTTTGCTCCAGGCAGCCCACCGCTGACTGCAAGGAGCTCGGGGTTCTTGGTTTTGCGCGGGCTTGTGGGAAACTCAGGGGCACAGCGTTCACAGGCGCGCAAACCTCCAGCGCGGGCTCTGGTGAGGTGGGGCCACCTCCGATTGCTACGAGGAGGCGTGGCCCAAACATCTCCGGATACCTCAGCGGACATGGTTGCGCGGGGCCATAGTATTATCCTCCGCTGACAAGTTCAAGCGGTGCTGCGGGGGCCACGCTCTTCGTAGCACGGAGAACATGCAGGGGAGGTCGGCGCGGGGAGTGGAGGATCTCCCATTGTGAGGTTGCTTGGCTCCCGCATCACAGGAGACATGCAGGGGAGGTGTGAGCGGGAGTGGGAGCATCCACTATGAGGAGCGTGGCTCCCGCATAACAGGAGGACTGCAGGGGCGTGCGTGTGCAGCGGGAGGTGGGAGGATTCCACTTGTGAGGTGCGTGGCTCCCGCATCACAGTAGACATGCAGGGGAGGTGTGCGTGGGGCCCGTAGTACATAACAGACAAAACGTTTGCATACAGACATCTTGTTTAACCAATCTATAATTATAATGTTTGGTACTCATCCGTTGTCTATAGTTTGTGTTTTTCACCCAGTGTGACAGGGAATGTTAAGTGTGCCATGAGATGTTATTCATTGTCCTTTTGCACTCTGATTTTCCTTATCATACACTGAGAATTTACTTTGTTTTTGTTTAATAAAGGGTGCGAGTAAACAGTTTTGTATCAGCTTCAGGCTGGTGGTGTGCCATGAGATTTGTTTGTTAAATTTGTTTTTAATGATTGTTTCAAAAAGGTTGGAATTGGTACCACTGGTGTATATCACTTAGTCACTTAATTTGGATTGATTAAACTTATGTATGTGTATATTTGAAGCAAACCAATTTTTTGACTAACCTTTTTCTTTCTTTTTTCATAGGAACATGACTCGGCATTCTGATGCAAGTGGCCCTGTAAGTGTTGCAATTTTGTGGTCAAAAAAGAGGTTACTTACTAAAGCATTTTCCGTTTTAAAACATGGGACCTTCACTCGATTGCGCACAATACATGTCTAATACCGCATGTCTTGTACATTTAAAACTTCAATGCACTCATACTGCATTCTATCTAGATGGTCACCAAGAAAAACAGAAAATGAGTATTTTAGTGTTTCACTCGCCAGTGTGTGACTTGGTGAACCTTGATCTGAAAAAGACTTTTTTACCATTTGCGGTGGACATATTAAAGTTGAAACAGAAAAGTAGTGGGTCCATATCATGGATTTGCTTTAGAGAGTAATGTTTCTTCAACTTTTACTTCACAGAAGCCGACTGCATCGCCTTGCAAAGTAAACCTTCATTTAAGCCTAAATAGTGTACTGGAGAAAACATCCTTGAAGGACAATCTCAGATACACCTGGACTCTTCAATTCTGCGGCTGATTAATGTGAGACGGACTGTGATATTTAACTGTTGAGATCTAGCAATGTTAAGAAACTAGAGAGGCAGTTGGAGCATAACTTGGCTGGCTTTTTCTTCAAGATGTCTTCCATTTTTTGCTATTTCTGATGTGCCACATATACAAGAAGTTGTGTAAACAGAATAAACAGTTCCATATGTTGTCACAAGACACCATTGTTACATTCAGCCTTACAAAATATGTTATAATGAGCATTGTGCCAATATTGACCATTCTATAATGGAATTAACGTAAATGACGGCCTTTGAAGAAAATACAACATGTTCTTAAGGTAGATTCAACTGGGGGATCACTGGTCAACACCAAAAAAGAAAATCTTTAATATCTGAACGATTTCCCTGTTTGTAAATCCCATGTAGAATACATCTCTACAAAAATAATCAGGATTATTGTCTATGTCCCAAGTCTTGAAATGTTACAGACCCTGATGAGCTAATAAGGACATTTTGAAGGATCGGCACATGTATGGGAAAGGACCAGAGGAGATCAAAGGACTTTCGTCTTAAAGGGATGGTTGGCGCTTCAAAGAAAACTCACTCCTAGCAACGATCCTTTTTGCATTGCCTTTGCTTTGTATCTGGTGATTGTGACGTAGCTATACCCTCTAAGGAAACCTCAGAATAAGCACAAACTTTATGCGCATTTTATGGACACTTTGCAACATTTCACCCAAAATTTTCGCTCTTCTTTGCATTTTCAATCCAACTTGCATTTGCTTTGCAAGTCCAGCACGATCAAAACAATTCGGCTACAGTAAAATTCTGGCACCACTGATTCATGACCTGGTTTTCCTTGAACAACTGAGTGTTTTATGTTATTAATTCAGTGGTTTCAGCAAATAGCGCTTAGTCCCGACTGAAACCCACTAGTAGCACAGAAGCTAACACAAGCTAACGAGGACATGGAAAGTGACAATGAAATTGGCTCAAACATGCACAATATTAGTCGCCTCACCTTGGAGCTCCGTGAGAGCGACCGTGCCACCATTGCAGATCTACGAAAAGAAGTCCTTCGTCTCACCGCAGAGTTGAATGAGAAACAATCTCTAGTATCCAAACTTTTTGAAGTCGCTGGTGGGCAGCATTCACGGCTGATGTCACTGAGCGCTGCATATTGTGACACTGTCGTGTGGGAGAGATCCGTCAGCTCCGGACCCTCCTGTTCTACACCTAAGCGCCCGGTTCCGAACAACGAGCCCGCGGATTCCGAGGAGCCATCCTGCGCCGTGGCCCATGTCCTGAGTCTGGCAAACCGCTATGCAGCCCTCTCCACCGACATCCCGGCCCCCTCAGCAGAATCCCTGGACACTGCAGCGTACTCTACTGCTCGAGGATCCAAGTCCACTACGAGGAAAACGCTCCTAAAGGAAGCAGTCCTCAGGCGAAAGAGCGGTCCACCAGCCATGTTGGCCTGTTCCCCTTCTTTGACCCCAGTGCAGCAGCCTCAGACTGGGGTAGCGAGCCATCATTACCACCGCTCACCTCCACCGGGTCAGCAGCAGCGCCCAGAGCCAGCCCCTCTCACCGCTCCAGCGTCCCCGAGCACACAGCGTGGGTCGCCTGTAGCTGAGAGTCAGCACCCCCGCTCCTCCTCTCCATGTGTTCAGCGGCGCTCAGGCTCGGGTCCTGCTTCGGGTGAACCCGCTGGTTCCGTCCACCGAGCTCCTTCTCCGAGGCCACTCTTCGCCCCGACCACTCTGATTATTGGAGATTCCATCGTGAGACACGTCCGCTTCTTTAACGCGGTCACTCGCTGTATTCCCGGAGCTACTGTACCAGACCTGCTCATCCGTCTCCCTCCTCTGCTTCAGTCCCTGCCTGATACCGTTTCCAAGGTAGTCGTGCATGTGGGAATTAACGACATGAAACTTCAGCAGTCAGAAGTCACTATAAGAAACATTTTATGGATTTGTTCCACCTCCTTCAATCCACGGGATTATCTGTTTTTATCTCTGGTCCAATCCCGACTGTAAGCAGAGGTGACTGCCTCTACAGTCGTGTTGTGGCGCTGCATATGTGGATCCAGGCTACATGCAGCTCTTTTAACTTTGTCTTTGTGAATAACTTTGCCCTTTTCTGGAAACGTTACGAAGCCTATCGTCCAGACGGATTACACCCAAACAGATACGGTAGCAGCCTGTTGATAGACTACATGCGTCATGTTGTTCAGCGTCCCCCGAGGGGGGCGTGACTGTTTACATCTGAGCCCCCTCGGACCCCACCGCACTCCCCCGCCTCCTGCTCACCAGCACCCGGTGAGTACAACGGTGCAAACACTGCTCCCTGTCCCGTCTGGCAGTGCATTACCAGTCCAAACACTGAACTGTGCTGACTCCCTTCTGACTCTGGGAGCTAAAGAACAACAACAAGGGTTTTCACATTTTAGGCCAATTGAGACTGTGTGTGTTCCTCGCACCAGCTCAAAAATGTTTTTAAATTCTAAAAAACGAAATCAAAACAGGACAGCAGTTAGACGGTCCAACTCTGCAAATCTAATTTCTGTTCCCTGTAGAAATCAATCAACCACATTAATCGACTCTGACGTTATTTTTAAACTTGCTATGCTTAATGTCAGATCTCTATGTAACAAATCATTTTTAATTAATAATTTTATCACTTCTTATGATCTTGATTTTATGCTTATGGCTGAAACATGGCTGGACCAAAATACAGGAAATGCAGTTCTAATAGAAGCAACACCACCCAATTTTAAATTCGAATCCGAAGTACGAGAAAACAAAAGGGGGGGAGGCATAGCTGCAGTTTTTAGAGAGCACTTTGTCCTCCCATAGAATGCCCCTTGGAAATTTTTCATCGTTTGAGTATATTTCTTTTAAAATGGAACAAAAGCAATCTTCTACTCTTTTCATTGTCCTGTACAGGCCACCACAGTCATGTTGCGATTTTATTGACCATTTTACTGAACTACTTTCATTCGTGTGCACAGATTTTGATAGTTTAGTTATTACAGGTGATTTTAACTCATTCACTGCCCATGACGACAAAAGTCGTTCTATTGTATAGTGACGCTCACTGCCCAAGACGACTTAGACGACTTTTTCGTGTTATTACACGGGAGGCTGCAGTAATGTCTGGCGCACCTTGTTAATGACCCACAACACTGATATATAGTGCAAATGTACCTGTAATGATAAATCACCACCAGTAGGATGCAGTATTGCACCACAGGAGAGGTCATAAGTCAGTGGAGAGAAGGAGGAGGAGTGTGGGGTCTTTGGAGAGCGTGCTGCTGTAGCAGAGCGATGATAGCGTAGCATTGAGACGGATCAGATCTAGTTTAGCGATAGTATAGCAAGAGTGATGGCAAAAAAGAATAGTTATAAGCAGTATACACTGCTTCAGAGATTGACTCGCGGATCAGTGAGTGAGGTCGAGAGGGGAGAGAGTGGAGACCCCGGTGGAGGTCCGTCTCTGCAGCTACATTTGCGCGGGAGCAAGAGCCCCGAGCAGAGACACACCTTCCGCCTCTCGCAGCGTATCAGCTGCTGTTGTTACTGATGCCTCGGATTCGTTCAGCAAACCTGATCATGATTTATCGGACACACTCACAAACACTCACACGCACTCACTCACACACTCACGCACACAGACACTCACTCGCACACTGACATTCACACACACTGACATTCACACACACTGACATTCACTCACACAGACACTCACACACACAGACACTCACTC